CTTAGTTTGGGGGAAAATATTTGCTAGCCATAAGAAAAATGATCTTCAAACATTTCATACCTGTTTCTGAGCTTCTACTTTTTGCTTTCTGGTTGGATCAATTGCATCTACCATCCATTTGATAGTAAAGTATGTTACTGCACCAAATATTGTCAAACGGAAAATTAAACCAACAACTTCATTCCGACTCAAGGGACGAGAAAAGGTTTCAGCATGTACCATCTTGATTGTTAACCTTAAAAAACAAACAGAAACATTACTAGGTAAAATTATATTAAAATTGGAAGAGTAATAAAGTAGATTAAACTAAGCAAGAAAAACTAAATTCTAGTCAAACTGAAGTATTACCTACCTTAAAAAAAGTGTTTGACTTCAAGGGGAAATGGAGTTTTAAATGTTAAGTAAAGAAATACATTTAAAGTTCCTTTTGGAAACTGAAGTAGATTAGGAACTAAGGTTTATTTAGTAGTAGAACTAATAATTCTATTTAAAAAATATAGTAACTATCTTAAGGTATTTATTCTTTCAAACAGCTTTTAAATAACTATTTCAGAGAGTCTAGAAAAGTACCAACTATAACACTAATCCAACTGAAGAAAGGCAGCCCAACAATACTAATGTTTATGGTAAGAATTTCTTCTATTAAGTGTAATATATACTAGGTAATTTTTGAGAGTGAAATTCAAACTGTGAATTGACTCACTTTTTCCTCAATTGTTTTCAAGGACTGCTTAAATGTAAACATGCCATTTCTCAATTGATAAGTGACAAATTTTTTGAGCCATCCGATTGCTCCCAACAACCCAGCAAAATATGAAGCAACAGAGCTTTCAAAAATTTTTAACCAACCGAACCACTACAAGAATACAGCACTCACCAAAACTACAGAGAAAAAAAAAGAGGCAATGTACCTATTTTTACATACATCCCTGAGCAGCTACGTCAATCAAAGCTAGGCTTACAGAAGATACGCACTCCTGTCAAGGGCAATAACTATCCAGAAGAATAAGCTAGTTAGGGATGACATGACTATCACATTTTGGGAGATAGGATCTCAGCTTCAAATAATGCCATTATACTCGGTTCTGTGCTGAGTGCTATGGTATATATAGGAAAAAGAGAATATATATTTTGTACTCATATGAAAATGAGTAAGCCAGAATTTGTACAGATGGCTTGGAAACAGGTAAAAATTAGGTACTGTATAGATTAATTAATCCATGGTCCTTCCAGCTCCAAAATTACTATTTCTCTTCTCACTACTACTAAAGATCCTCTTTACCTCCCTCCCTCTAGAATAGCTCCAACAATTTTTTAATTCCTCTGATATACCTCCTCTCCATTCAAAACCATATACTCCTCCCTAACCAAAAGACCCCAAAGCTTTCCCTTCACAGGATTCCCGAGGATTCAAGACTATCTTGATTTAGCTCCAGAGTCAAAATTAAGCATTTTATCTCTCACTTCTCAGTGGGAACTCTCAGTAGCTGGAGTCACTATCATCTGAAAATGCCACACGTATTTTACCTTAGGAGTATCTGCCTGGTATCCTAGATGGGCCATTTCCTCTTATTCATCTAGGATTAGTCAAATTCTATCCAAACTTCAAAAAATCAACTTTATGTGCTCCATGAAGCCTTTCAGATCACATGAATCCTCTACATTTATTCATTATTACACTATCTTAAGAAATGTCTTGTTTTAATCATTATTGAACTCTGGGATATCTATTCTACTGAGCTAGCATTTAAATCCTTATAAACAACATTTATAACTTATCCATCTTTTGTGTGTTTGTCACACATAAAACACAGGCTACTCAAAATTATCTGTTCAAGAGACAAACTGCAACTAAAGAAAAACCTCCCGGTTGATTATTACAACAGTCATTGCCAGACTTTTGAAGGATTTTCAAAAGTCAAGGTTCTACACTTCTCCATTACTAGGAGCCAATCACTTCACAATAACTACATTATTTAATTTAAACTTAATTAATTGAAAGCCTTCGATTTGGATGAAGAAACTTTGGCCTATGGATGGTAAGTGATTTGATTCATTCAACGAGCACTTATTTAACATTTATATATCACACCTACCAAATACTGAATATACAATAAAGGCTAAGATACAATTACTTTACTCAAGGAACACTGTCCAATTATTATATTAATTACAGGAAAAAAGGAAAAACAGGAAAAAAGGAAACAGGAAAAAAGGAGCCAGAAGGGAGAAGTTACCTAACTAAAATCTCGCCTCATATAACAAAACGGTGTGCTTCTTCCATCAGCATGGATTCCAAAATATAGGTTACACAATACTTCACTTCTCACAGGAAGTGAAAACCTGACTTTTCTAGTCTTTATTCTGACAAAGTTGAAAATGAGGTTAGAATGTGTGGTATCATTATGTGGGCTATATTCATAGATGAAAATAAACCAATTTAGACAAGATAAGGGTTTTATTAACTTAATTTATGAAAAGTGGTGGCATTCCAAAAACATTTTTCATTTTAGTTTGACTTAATACCAATGATAATGTTATCTACTGGAAGTGCACTGAACTACATGGACAAATTAGGGCTATCAGCACATCCCAAAGTCACCAAGATAGGAAGAATTTTTAAAATCCTATAAAAAATGTCAAGATATAAAACCCCTGTTTATATATTTTCCTATTCTGAAATTAGGTTTATTAAGGCCAGCCACCTCTAAAACAGTTGTCCATCTTTTTAAATGACTTCAAAATTCTGAAACGAAACTGAAACTTGTTTTGTAGATTGTAACTGTATACGCTTTATTGTACACTCATCTATCATTCATATGGCACTGATAAACCTGCAATGTAAGGCCGTTACAGTAACAATACCATTACAGCAGAACAGACAATAACAGCTGCATGTGCATACGACAGGAAGGAGTGTGTTTCAATCTTGTATTAAACATCAGTTTCAACAAAACGAATACAAAAATATGTACATACACAAAGATAGTGCTATGTACAACTAAGAAATATGGCAAAACACTAATTTATAGTTACTTGTTGGGCAAACATGATATCTGATAGTCTCTTTTTAATGAGTTCTCCATTTCAAGGTGAAAAACTTCGAAACTGTACTACCTTGTCTATGAGCAAATTATTGACAGGTTAAAAGGAGACAGTATAGTGTTCATACTGTAGTATTTCTCTCCTAATTCACTGCAGTGTTTTTACAAAGGGTTTCTCAAACTCAAAGTCCCAGTTTCACAGGCATCAAGGCCCTCTGAATACATCCTATAACAATGAAGGCCTGCCAACCTTCACATAGAGGGCAGGTTATTATTAACACCATCTTCCTCTGCGAAAGCGTACCCAGCCCAGAAGAACCACTTTCGCTTTAGCACAAGGTGGTAGCAGCGCCTGTGCGACAATCAGACCTGGTTTATTCCAGCTGCCATCACCTAGAAGTCTGGTTCCGAGATCTCCCAGAACGACCCCAATCACCCACTGAGCAGGCTGAGTACAAAAATTTCCTCGGTAATGGCACAAATCTCGGGGGCAGAGCCAACTGAGACCTAAGGGCCCAGGCCGGGCCGGAAGCCACGGCGAGGCCCCGGACGCCCTTGGAGCTTAATGCGCTCGATACTAAAGGCTGCGGGGCTCTGGGGGGCGGCACTGAGGTGGGGCGTGGGAGGAGGGCGAGGTGACCTTCCCGGCTGGGTTTCCCAGATCCGAGCTGGTCCCTGAAGGAGCTCCGCGGGATCCTACACCCGTCCGTCGAGGTCCGCAGGAACCCGCTACTCACCCGGGGGCAGAAACAGCGGGAGCAAAAGCCCGGAGCCGGCCTCACACAGGAAGGAAATGCCGCCTGAGCGAGAACACTTCCGGCGGGGGCCGCGGTCCGCCCCCTGGGGCGGAGCATGCGCGACCCGCGGCCGCTGGCGCGCAGAAAGAAGAGTGAGTTCCAAGTCTTAGACATGGTCAGGGGACCCGGCCGGAGCAAATTCGCGCACCAGATACTTAACTTGGTACCTGCTGGGCGAGGCGCTTTGCGAAGCCAGTGTGTCTACAAGCAGCACACGAACCAACGCTCTGAGTTTAGCTACTGCGTGTCCGAGATTGAATTTGGGAACGCGCGTATCACAAAAAGTCCCTGCGCTGCTCGCGGGTTCCAGGAACAACCCTGACAAATCGGGAGCCTTCTTGAGAGTGCAGGAATGCTCTGCGTGCCCCGCAAGGGAATTCTTCCCTGGCTCCGGCTTGAACCTAACTCACTCCCACCGCTGCGTGCAAACCCTCACGCTGCGGCTCTACGTCTGTACTTCTTAGCCAGAGCGCAGACGCACAGGACCACTCCTCATTCTTCACCATCTGCCTTTCAGTTTCTAGGATGAGCTCACCCTCCTCCCCTATTTCTGTGCTGACAAACACCTGGGGGTGGCGCTTGAAAATCCTTTAGCGAAACGATTTAGCAGCCCACGCAGGCAGGCCCGGTAGCTAGGACAGAATAGGGCATCCTGTGACAGATTTTGCTTTTTGGTGACTTCCCTTTTTCTTTTACCCCTTCCTCTTTCCAGAATGAACGATGTGACACAAGAGGACCCAAGGGAACAAACCTGAAAGCCAGCACCTCCTGAATACACAGACTGCTGGGAGGCAGATGACATTAGACACTGTCCTCACATACAAGAGGCATCACTTCTTTCAGATAGAGGCGGTGAGACTATAAAGCAATGAGACAGTTCCCCTCCTTCTCTTCCTCAGGAAAGCAGTTTGTGCCTCTCTCCTTGAGGCGCTGTCTTGGATGGCTAAAGAATTCTGCAGCCTGATTGTTGAATTAACAAATAATACTAGTTACAAACTTGTATTGTAGCGAGGATAATACCTACAATTTAGTGAATGTCCACTGGGGTCAGGCAATATGCTGTTATGTGCTTTACATCCATAATCTAAATTCCTCCCCCCAAAATCCTCTAAAATCGACATTATTTTCTCTGTTTTTATAGATGAGCAAATTTGAAAGCTTAAAGCTTAAAGAGAGAAACTTTCCAAAGTTCATGCACCTAATATGTGGCAAAATTTCCTCAGAACCTAGATCATCTAATTCAAACGCTGCACTTTACATTTTCTCTTTGAGATGGTACTTTAATACTATTAATAGTTAAATTAATAGTTAAATTTTAAAATCTAGTTGAAAGAGGTAAGACCATGAAATGCCAAACTCACAAGACTTTAATGGATAAGAAGGGATGTGTGAGTGTTGAAAAACTATAATTTAGTTCATTGACAAGAATCATTCAGAATGGAATTTAGTACTATTAAGTGGTTCATGTTTTACTTCCATATCTTTTTGTCTTTAAGGCTTCATATATGTGTGTGCCTACATTCATAATATAAGTTTTGAAAAATTATTGTGAAGCTAGATATGGGAGTACTAGACTGATTATTTAGAGAGTGAAATAGACCTTGGAGAAGAACAGGAAGATTATGAGACCAGGACAATGTTCACACATACACACACACACACACACACACACACACACATACTCAAAACAGAGGCCATCTGTGCTCAGCAGTCTTGGAAGGGACTCTGCACTGGGTTCATGGGATGATCCCAAGCTTAGTCATTGCTTGGGAGGTTCATGGGGACATGATTTGACGGGGCTAAAAGGGAGGAGTTACTGAAGGAAAGAAACCTAGGTTTTGTGGTACGCTAGGATAATCATACACACTGGTTAAGGAAAATGAGCTGAGAAATTCAAGATGGTAATGGATTTCCATCATTAGTGAGCAAAACTGATTCACCTAAGAATTTCACCTGCTTTACTCTAAGGACTAGGGTGACCAACCTAGCCAGTTTGCTTGAGACTGAGGGGTTCTCTGGAATGTAGGATTTTCATTGCTAAAACAGAGAAAGTCTCAGGCAAATCACAAGGAATTGGTCACCCCACTAAGGACATCCTAGATGAATTCTGCAATGTGGTGGAGCTCCTAATATGGTTACATCTAGTCTCAGTTCATCTGCCTAATATCTACGGTATGATTGCACAGGAAAGGAAATTGTTGGATAAAGTAATCAAGGCTGACCATAAAGAGTCTACAAATTTCAAAATAAGTGCTTTTTCTTGTTCCCTTTCCTGTGGTTTGGCTATAAACCAAATGCCTATACCTAACACCTTTTGGAGCTAATGCTTTCACTTAGCAAATCCTTAAGAAAGCTCCTACGTCTAGGCCCTAAGACATCAAATAACTGCCTTCCCACATACCTTTCCACCAATCACTCAATCAACTAGGTTCTTCCAGAATAGATAAGAATGAACATATACTTTTCATCCCAGGATAGCTTTATATAATCCCTGGCAACACAAAATACCGTATTTGGCCCACAGTAGGGGCTCAATAAATAATCCATTATATGTAATATTAATCAGGATGTTATAACAACAGATTTCTTGTAGACTTTCTGGGCCTTCCCTCTTTGTTAGAATCAAGATATTAAAAATGATTATTATATTTATTATAGAAAATTGGGGGTTTTTTTGAAGTGTGTTTTTTGTACCAATGTGCTAAAATAGTTACAGCAGTTCTGCCCCATGATAATGAATTTTCCATTTTTATTATTGGATGGGATGTGGTTAGTTTGCTTTGCAGCCAAGGTCAATGCATTGGATACCTGGTGGGAGGAAGGGATTCCTAAGATTAGTTCTCAAATTTCATTGCATATAGATTAACTTGGAAAACTTGGCAAAATGCAAATTCCTGACTCCTAGCCTTAGAGGCTCCCATTTAAGTTCTCTAGGTTTTGGCCCAGGAATCTGCATTTTTAATAAGCATCTGGCTCTCTGCCATGTGAAGATACAATGTCTACAAGCCAGGAAGGGTACCCTCACCAGACACAGAATGTTCCGGCACCCTAATCTTGGACTTCCCAGCCTTTAGAACTCTGAGAAACAAATTTCTATTGTTTAAGCCTCTCAATCAATAACATGAAATGATTTGGATATAGGTAGTTTTGGACCACACTTCTAAGAACTCTGCCCTAGTGAGTGTAGACTTGAGATGTATTTTTGCAAAAATTTCTACCACCCCAGCCCAAAAGGCCTATCTGGTCATCTGAACCATTAAGCTAGCTGAGATGCATCAAGAAATTAAGGCAAGGAAACCTCATGATGAGATTTGGAATAAAATCCCTTTAGAAGGAAAAACAAATCTGAAATGCTTGGATAAGTAAACATAGTAAACCTGACCTTATTCATTGCTCATTAGAAATAATTCACTTGACAGTGATTTAGAATGAGCAGAACTTCAACAAATAGATAAAATTATATCGCAATAATTATGCCAGTAGTAATAGTCACTTGGTAACTTTGATTCTTTTTAAAATATTTAATCAGAAAGGAATAATCTTAATTATCATTTTGACAAGGTAAATTAAATAGACACACTTGACCTTAGCCAAAAGACTGGGAAGCAATGGGATAAATTAAATAGAATGGGTGGAGAAAGAAAGGTAACCATGTGAGCATGAAGAAAGACCAAGATTTAGTGCTTGAAGCTCAAATAGAAAGAGTAAGGTGGAATCAAGGCAAAAATAATGGAAAATTAAAATTTCAACAGATAAGAGGAAGTGGAAAGATGAATTGATAGCTCCATTCTATAAAAAGCACAGAGCTAAAAGAAAGACTACAGCAAAGTTCAAAGGACATGTTATAAATCTACTTTCCATGCTTTTGTGTTTTTAAACTTTACACATAATTTAAAATAAGTGTATATAAAAATGAGTTATATATATTAATAATTTTCCCATGTTATCAGGGTAGCACTACCTACAAACAACCTTACATCATACGTAACCCTTTTTCTCATGCAGTGCTGCCAATTGTACATTTTTTAACTGTCGGCCAAAAAACATTTTCTAGAACTTAGATATTTATTTAAAATCTACAACATTTTGTTGTTTAGCTTTAATACAGTACTGTTAAAATGATACTGTATGTGAAAAGTCAGGATTGAGCAAAAACAGAGAATTGCTTTGGAACATGTCTAACCTTACTATAGCCTCATCAAAAGTTTTAAGGCATAAATGGACTTTCATAAATGCCCCTCATGTAGTTTCTTAAATGGGGGAGGAGGTGGGAAGGATTAGGTAAGAATAACAAAGGTATAGATTCACTAGCTAAAATAGAAGAAACAGTGGTTGAAATTTTAATTCTCAATTCCTGTAACAACAGATTGATAGATGAGGCATAAAACAAGACCAGATGCTATGGTTTCCAGGACGCACTTGGCTTCCCATCCTTTATAACCCAGAGCAATTTTTGCTCTAAGTAGGTCACTTGCTTGCTCTCATTTACCTGATTCTAGGAAAATGCCCTTTAAACTATTTAGAAAATAGTATGTACTGGTGCTTAACATTTTAAAAATTAAGACTACATAACCATCCCCCCCACCACCTGACTCTATTAGGCAGAATAACTTGTAACCTTGAAGCATAAATTAAACTAAAATGGACAAGAAGAATTTGAGACCTTTTATTTTCTAAGCACAAGTACACTGAAATCTGTGCCCATTTTGTTAGCTCCCATAATTCACTTTGCTTAGCACTGGCATAATACTCAGCTCACAAAATTATAGTTGAGGTCTGTATTCTCCTAGCAGATAAGAACTTCTTGAGAAAAGAGGATGCCTAGGACATAAGATGGATTTAACAAATGTTTTAGCTCATTGATTTTTTTTTTTTCCAAATCTGGTATATCTAACAGGGCTTTTCAGACCCCATTCCTGCAAATTTAACCTGACTAGAGGGAAAAAAGAGGTAGGAAAGACAAATGATGCAAAGGTAGGGTATATGAAGCAAATCATTTTACTGACCATAATTATATTATTGCCCTGTCATGTTAAGTCTGCTCCTGGTGTGTCTATCAGAAACCAGTCCAATCAGAGTTTAAGAGCATGGACTTTACAGACTTGGGTTTGGATTTAAGATTTGCTATTTGCTAGCTCTATGATTTTGGACAAGTTACTTATGCTCTCAACCTCAGTTTCCTCATATTTAATATGGGAACAATAACAGTACACATGCCGTGGACTTGCATTGAGAACTAAATAAGACAATGCATGTAAAGTGCCGAGCTCAATGCCTAGCACTTAGCAAGTGCTCAATAAACATGCTGATGTAAATACCTCAGATGATATTTTCATTATACTATGAGTTGATATTCTCATTCCCAGGAATCTGTAAGGACAATGATCCTTTCCTATCTACTTTGTGTTTGCATGAGGACTTTACCTCTCAAGTTTTCAACCATGGCATCTTATCTGAAATATTTATTTTCTCTAACTTGTGTAGAAGCTGTACATGCTTCTCTGTTGCTTTGACCTCTTGGTTTTCTCATTCCCAACCTTAATGCATCCTTCTGGCTGAGTCTTAC